ATTAACCTGGTAAAAGACATTAGCCAACAAATCATTCTTTTGGTGACTAAAGAAGCCTGTAAATGTGTCCAAAGATCCATGGGAACTTCTCAAAGTGCCTGCTCACTGTTTAATCCATGCTGCTTGTGAAACGCTACTACATTCAACAAGTTACCTGTTGAGTAAGTACAGGAGGAAAAAGAGACAGAAGAAGGGCAGAGACAGACCAAGAAAAGCTACCTCTGCTCTCAGGCTAGTTAGGAGTGGTAAAATTCCCAGAGAGTAGGGTGTCTCAAGTGAGATGAGACTAAGAGAAACTGATGGTGGTTGGCATACTGAAAGGTAGGTGGACTTTTTAAGTCATAAATGCTTGGGTCTGCATGTGTCTAAACTCCTGCGCTCTGTATGATCTAGGTATAAATACTTGTCCTCTAATGAAGCTTGCTTGCTTCTTTAATAGGATACATAGTTAGCTTATCCACAATCTTAAAGTTATCAGAAGATTACATGAGCTAATAGATTTGTGCCAAGCAGCTAGCACACAATCTCATATACTATGAGCTTAACAACAAATGACACTGCATGTAGGACTTAATCATGCCCTCTGTGGCCACAGCCAAAATCCTTAGAGACGGCTACTAATTGTATTCCACAGTTCTTGCAGATGTCAGGCTACAGAAAAAAATTCCACCTGAAGTTCACTAGGTTTTCTAATAAAGCACATGTCCCTACATAAATAATAAAAGCATGTATGCTTTCCTTTTGGGTTAGCAAAGTAATTTCACTTCCAGGTATAATCTTGAAATGAATTATGGTTATCCATATTTAATAGATTAAAAAATAAAACTACACAGTCAACACAAGGTAGCCTGTGACTACAACTACAGATTTCAACACTGTATTACAATGATCATGAGTTTCTCAATCAAAATATTCAAATAGGTGATCTTATTATGGAATAAAACACATAAACTGACCTTTTGTCCAGAAATCGCTTCAGATGCCACTTTCATTATAATACTAGCCAAAATCAGAAAACAAATCTTGAAAGAAAGAAGGAGGAAGAGAAGGAGGGGGAGGAAGAGGAAGAAAGAAGCAGCAGCAACAGCAGCACCTTCTCTGGATTTTACTTATGAATTCTAAATAGTCTCATGTAGAAGAGGAACATGTCTTAGACTTATGAATTCTAAATAGTCTCATGTAGAAGAGGAACATGTCTTAGTAGAGTATGGCGTATTTCAGTTTTAGTAATACCTCTGGTATTTATCAGCTTTTTGGCCTGATTTTTTCACCCCATTAGTTTTCAGCATCTCATCTGTATAAAGGGAAAGCAATAAAAATCTAGTAAGACTAATTTCACATAGACCAATCAAAGTCTTCCAAGTGACAGTGGCTCACACTTGGAATCCTAGCTACTCAGGAGGCTGAGATCTGAGGATCACCGTTCAAAGCCAGTCTGAGCAAGAAAGTCTGTGAGATTCTTATCTCCGATTAACCAGAAAAGGCTGACATTGGAGCTATAGCTCAAATGGTAGAATGCTAGCTAGCCTTGAGCCAAAGACGCTTTGGGACAGTGCCAAGGCCCTAAATTCAAGGTCCCTGACCAGAATAAAAAGAGAATGAGTCTCTCACCTACATAAGGTGGTCAGAAAATGATGGCTACTCCAATATGCAGTAGTAGTTCATTTGGTCTATACATTAGGTGACCACTTGTCTTTTTAATGCTCTCTCCAACTCCTGCTGACCTCTCTCTTTCACATTATGTTCAATGGCAGCACAACTAGTCTCCCTCCAACCTCACCAGGGAATGAAGACAACAAAAGAGCGGGCAGAGACATTATGCAAATACCAAATATTATTAAAACATTAATGAACTCTGGCAATTTCCCTGAATTTTGATAGATGATGTTTATTATGCACTGCCGGCTTCTCACACAATCTGGGCTCTCCACTATTAACTAGATAATAAAAGCAATCATTCTCCCAAAAGACCAAGGTGTAAAAATAAGGAGTCATTCTAGATGATCCCAGCCAACACTTGCTTCCAAAGGAACCAAAGTCTATGTACAAACAAGAGAGCATGGAGCCAGATCACAGAGACCCCACTGACCACTATCCGACTGAGATCCACCGCCCAGCTGTGCAGAATCCTGCTTTGACAGGGTGTCTTGGTCACTGTCAACTGTCTATCATTGCTTTGCTCTTCTTTGTAACACTGCCTCAAACTGGACAAAATGAAGAGATCTGAGAAAATGAAGGGCTAATAATCTTTGACAGAGAGCGGCTTCTTTGGACACCATCTCTCAACTGCCTGAAACAGCAACATAAAAGAGTCCTGTACTAAATGCCTTGGCCATTTTGTCCTTTGTGATGGGGATAATGTTTCTAAGCTACTGACAATCCTCAGGTGCACTCAGAGGCAGAACAAAGCCAAGAGAGCTATACTCTCTCAACTCCTAGAAATGGGAGCCTGCAGCCTCCCAAGTGACACCTTAACAAGTGGAGGGTCATTAAGGTACCTCATTTGCATATTCATGAACTACTCAAGACCTTGGCAAGTGGTACAAAGTACACACACACACACACACACACACACACACAGACTTTGTTTCTTAAGCCAAACATAAATCTGCTTTAGAGAAAGTAAATCCACACAGGGACCACTTCTGTCCACAAGCCGTCCCTTGTCTAGAGCAGACCAGCACCTCATTAAAGGAAAGCAAGGGGACTGGAAAATGAATGCAGTACCACACACAGACAAGCTCATTTTGCCATCTGCCTTCTAGTGTCCAGAGGGGCAAAGGACTTAAATGACACTCCTGAATTTCCTCTTTGGCAGGTGAACATGCACAATTCCCAGGAGGAAGAGAGACTTCACTTGCAAGGTCAGCTGAATAAAAAAGAAGGGAAGGAACTGTAACTTACCTGTCAACACAATGTCACTCTTAACATTAAACACATGCATAAATTAAGCACCCTAGAAGAACTCTCCCTTTTATAGTGGGATAAAAGACTTGCAAATTCAGTGTGTCAGAGGTAGGGTGAGTGTAGAAGTTCCTAATGGGCCAGGAATTTTTCCTGCCCCATTTCAGATCCTTGACTAAACTGCCAAGTTGTGATCCACTCACCACTTCTCCTGAAGGGCCTAGGACAAGAGATGAAAATATACGGGGGGGGGGGGGGAGGGTTATTGTCCTGTAAATAACACAATGGCAGACTTCTGTTATTTAAGCTAAAGAGAAAGCCCATGATTAAGCAACTTAACTGCCTTGAGCTTTCCCGACATACCGCCTCCTTCCTCACAATCGCTGGCTAGTTTTCAGCCATAGAAGCTTCCTAGGCATTTTAAGCTTCCCCCTGAAAACTCACTCCACCAGGTTATGGATTAAAAAAATAAATAGTACCCATCTAAGTAGCCCAAAGCCAAATATCTCCACTTAATATATATATGCTTACCACTCCATACACCATCTAGAAAACACTTGTGGGAGGGGGGGAGTGTATAGCAAAGATTAAAACCTGTCCTGAGTTTTAACAGGTTCCCTCCTATTCACCAAAATCCTTAACACCACCGGTGGACCACATTCAATGTATATTAACTCCTCCCTGGGGCTGAGGGGCTGAAGCAAACCTAGAGAGACTTAAGGGGTCGAGGGGGAGCAAATCCCAGAAGAGAACCAGCCACAGACAGCCTTCTGCTGCTGCAGTCCAAGTACATGGAAGTGGGGTGGGGGGAGAGTAAAAAGCAAAGGTTCTGTCTTCCTTCCTCTTGTGGCTGAACAGCTTTCTGCCCATCACATTTTCCACCCCCTGGAAAACTGGCCGAGGCTAAGGTTTCGCCGAGCATCCCCAGACCCAGGACTTGCCAGGATCCGAAACCCGGGAAGCCGAAAGCCACCCTCCCCTTCCCCCCCCCAACCCCCTCTCCATCCAGGCAGCGGACGCGCTCGTTCTTACAACTCCGTGGCCCTCATCCCAACCGCAGGACCGAGAGAGGGATCTGCCCCCCCACACCCCCACCCTCGGTGTCAGCGATCGTCCAGGACCAGGAGGTGAGGGGGGTGGGAAGGTGGGGGTCAGGTGGGCACCGTTTCTAAACCAGGGGCTGCCCACGGCGGGCACGGAACCCACGGACAATAACAAAGCGCCAGGGGGGGCCGGCGCTCCGGGACGGGGGGGGGCGTCCGCCCAGCCCCGCGCCGGGTCCCGGAGCGGCCGGGGATTTTTAGGAACTCGGACCTCGGCGACCCCGGCCGGCCTCGCCGGAGGAGCCCCGGAAGCGCTTCCAAGGGAAGTCGATTTGGGCCCCCCCCCCAAAAAAAATCAAAGTTGCAGCAACTCCCGGCGCCCCGAGGACTGGGGCGGCGGGTGACGCCTCCGAGCGCCCCACGACAAGTTCGGCCGGCGGGGGCCCCGGCGAGCCCGCGCCGCGCCGCGGGAAGCGGAGCGGCAACTTGTCGCTCTCGGCGGGGTGCTCAAGCTGGGGGCGGTCGGAGAAGGAAGGAACCCCCCCCCATCCATCCCCCGGGCTTCATCCCTACCCCACCCCTCCTCACCTCCCCCCCCCACGCCCTCGGATCCCAGCGCAGGTCTGAACCTCGGGAGCTCCCCACGCCCGCGGGTCTCATCACCTGGCCCGCGCGGCGTCCCGGGGGCTCCCCGCAACTGTCAAGACGTCCTCCCTCCGCCCCTCCGCCCCAACCCCCCCCCACCTGCCAGCCGGGCTCGGAGGTGGGAGTGAGTGCGGGGGGGGGGTCACAAAAGAGCGAGCGAACGGGGAAGGGGAGCCCGGCGCAAAGTGCAGGGCAGAGCCGGGCAGGCAGTCCGGCTGGCCGCGGAGGAAGGAGGGACCGGGCGCTGGCCAAGAAGCCACGAAGGAGGGCGATGGGCGCCGGGAGGAGGAGGGAGGGAGGGAGGGAGGTCGGCGCGGCCCCCCGGCTCCCCAGCACCCCGGTCGGGCTCACGCACGCCGGCAGCACCTCCCTTCTTTTTTTTATCTTTTTAATTTAAATCCTCCTTACCCAGCATGGAAAAGATGAAATCCTTGGCTGTGTGGATCTCCAGCGCTCTCTGGTCGTCGTATTCCCGCTGATCGTGCCGGGTGAATTCTTGGATGAGTTTGTTCAATTCCTCCACCCGAGCTCCGGACCTGAAATCCAGCTCCGGGAACGCAGGCTTGTTGTTACAGCCCAGGGAGGCTGCCTTGCTGGCGGTGGGAGCCGCCATCTTCATGCGAAACGCGCCGAGCAGCAGCTCCGCGGCGGCGGCGGCGGCGGCGGCGGCGGCGGCA